TTGAAGTATACGCATCAAAGACATGATCTCGTTGATCATTCCTTCAGATATGGAAATAATTAGCAGCTGTCCTATTTCAGCTTCCACAAGTTTCAGTTTGAAAAAGTGACCATTACTAGAAACGCATGTCTTCTCCCTACAACAGCGCTCTTCTCTCATCTCTGATGCTATTCAAAGCAACATATCAAAAAAGATAGAGTGCCACAACCCCCACATGAAGGACTATGTAGTAAAGACCATCCAAAATCATGTTTTCTCCAAGGCAGGGGGGAGCAACAGCTGTTTTCTGGAAACAAGAGTTTTAGGACAAGCTGCCTAGGGATGAAATCTGTGCTTCAGATATTTGTCTTTGAAAGTATCATGACCTACAAAAACTAGATAGACACACACACACACAAACATCTGTTCCTAGCTATTTATTTTATTAAAGACCTTAAACCTACTCAAAAAAGCCCCCTTCTATTCTGGAGTCTTTAGTAATTTAGAGCTATAAGAAGAGTTTTACCTAAGTTGGGGTAATTGGGGAATCGGGCCTTGGTGCTACTTGCCTATTATCAAAATGAGGATGGAAAAGACAGAGCAAGAAAGTCATAAAATGTTTTTTGAAAAAAGAGTTAAGCCAGGCAAGAAAGACACTTTCGGAGAAAAGTCATCATTTTAAGTTCAGCTCCACGCACTGATGATTTCTTATTTTCTGCCGCGAGACTTTTAATAAGGCAAAGTTTGCACTAGCCTTGGTGCTACTTGCCTATTATCAAAATGAGGATGGAAAAGACAGAGCAAGAAAGTCATAAAATGTTTTTTGAAAAAAGAGTTAAGCCAGGCAAGAAAGACACTTTCGGAGAAAAGTCATCATTTTAAGTTCAGCTCCACGCACTGATGATTTCTTATTTTCTGCCGCGAGACTTTTAATAAGGCAAAGTTTGCACAAGACTACTGTGCTCTAATGGAATAAATTGCCCAATAGACAAATTTTTGTTGCAGTCAAAACTACAGTTGAAATAGTATTTCAGTTCTACTGTCTCCATAGTTCCTTGTTTATTTCTGTCAAGACAAATATTTTGCTTACTAAACTAAAAATCAGGTCATGAAGAACTGTTGTCAGGGAAGTAAAATAAAACTTTTCTTTTCAGATCCTATGCATTAAAAAGTATAGCTGAAAGGAAAGGTTGGAGGAAAGCATATTTTAACAATCTAAAGCAGAGGAGGAACCCAGCAAAACCTCGTTTGTCCTACTAAAAAAATAACACCATTAACATGAAGTCAAATCTTTCATAAACCTAGAGAGGGGTGTGAAATTTCCAGTGTAAAATATTACTCAAATATTTTGAAAGATTTTCTGTAACTCCATACTCTAATTATCTCATAGTTACATTTTAACACTGTACCTTATTGCCAAGAACCAAATACAAACATTTATAGCAAGACAGCAGGATGTATACAATTGGCTTTGAAACATAACACCCATTTCTAAAAGACTGTAAGTTAGAACAATTTTTTCAGGAAGAGTGTACTTTGAGAAAGGAAATTCAGATTCCCAGGTGAAGACAGAAAAAAATCAGAGGGTTCCCAGAAAGACAAGATGGTCTTCTGGGAAAGAAAGGGAAATATGTATTGGTTTTGGGGAAGAAAAGGATGGAGACAGGAGAGGTAACTAAAACGACACACAAGCACACTTAGGCAGATATAAAAGAAACTACTGTTACTAATAATAGTAAAACAAGGGTTAAAGGTATGAAGTCCAACAACCAACTTACAAAAACTTTGCCAGGACCGGAGATTATACCTGATACCAGCTAATGAAAACCATTCCTTTCTGAACTCTGTCTCCTATTATTTCAAAGATTTTCCTGTGCCTTTCAGACTTGGACTGTTCAGTTTTACTATGTTCTGGTTTTCCTCCTTTGTTAGTTTAGAATGCTAAAAGTCGTGTGTCTGTGGGGAACGGCACGCCTGCTGCTTTATAAGAAGACAGAACACTTGTATTTAATAACAATTACTATTTTGTAGCTGTGTTTCTTAAGGTGTGTGTGCTGTGTGGTCTAGTAGTTAGAAGATGGAGCCAGAACCCTGTTCTAATTTATGGTTATAACTTACTGCTTTACCTCTAATACAATACTGGAAGTTGGACAAATGACAGCACTGCCAGAGATTTTAGGCTTTTTTCCACCACTTGTAAAACTATCATTACTTGCCCATCTAAAATGCTTCAGAAATATCCTTAATAAAACCTAGAGATTGATTAACAGCATGCATCTGAACTTAGATTTAATTCAAAAACTCCATACAGAATAGGCAACGCTAGTAAAATCTGATTTTCCTAACCTTGGATATTCTTCCAAGAGCAAATCTTATAATATTATAATTATTAAAGAGTTATCTAGTTTTACTTTAGAAAATTCTGTCAATACCTTTAAAATTATAACCGAGTGAACAAGGCAAATAAAAAGCACGGTCCTGAATTCCACTCCCACTCCCCCACACCCTATAGTCTCTTGGCCTCAGCTCAATTAAGAAAAGTAGCCCTAGAAACCAAATTTGCTTTAGAAGGCTACTTATTCTTATTCCGAAGTGCAGTACAAACTTCTACTTCCATTCAGCTAGAAAAGGGAAATTTCCATATAAAAAGATAAAATGTAAAAAAGGAAAGGTAAGATTAAACAGAATATCAAAATAATGCAATATAGTAAAGAAAGACCAATTAATCACCCTAACAAGTGTAATCATTTTTGCAATGACAATTTTTCTGAAAGAAAAATCCAGTTAAGCTATATAAAAACAAGCTACACAAAGAAAACCAAAAATCCATTTGACACCTCTAACCCTGCCAAGGCATCAATCCAAGTACAAGCAGCAACTACTCAGCAATTCAGAGCCAGCTTATACAGACATTTTATGGCAGGTACACACAGAAGAACAGAATTCATTCTTCGTCATGAGAAATTAAACTATTTATCTTGAGTAAAAAATAGAAATCAACAGTTTAGCACTTAAGAAAATTTAAGGATCTTCACAAGGCACTAGAAAGTCTATTAGGCATCTCAACAGGTTGCATACAACCATCTGCCACTTAGAAAGTACCCAAACTATATGTTTGCACTAGTGAGAATTACTTCTGATCAGTATTTCTCACTGATATTTCCAATCCACTCACATCAGGCAGTTGCTTCAAATGCTTAAGTCACACATGTAACAGCCTGCCAAATTCCAGCCTCACGCTGGGCTGCAAGCAGAACAGCTATCACCTGCCAACGGTGAGGTCGCACACAAGTGTCACAGCTCACCTGTAAGGCTCTTGGCGCAGAACCAGAAGCCAATTCCAACCAAGTAAGAGAATTTATATATATTACAGGTATTAAAGCCAGATAAACACAAGCCACACAAGCTCTCAGAAGACAGAGAGTCACCGCACAGTCTCACTGAATACCTGCAGGCCAAAGTGCACAACAAGGAAAATTCATACATTACAGGCTCTCTACTAAACCATCTGGCCCTTAGACTCTTTAGTCTACTGAAATAATGATTTTTTAAATCTTAATTCTGTTCGTGCTTTGTAAACTCTGATTGTATTTCATGTTTTATACCTGTCAAATCCACTGACTTTAAAGAGTTAACATTATTCTTATTATAGCAGTGTTGCGAGAGGCCATATATATGCTTCAATAAACAGGAGGAAAAAAACCCATGCTTTCTAAAGTAGAATAGTCTCAAGAAAAACAAGATTTCCATTTTACAGATGGGATGCTAAGACCCACAGAGGCAGCATGACTTGTAGATCACACAAAGATCTGTGAAAGGGGCAGGAAACAAGCACAGATCTTTAAAGACCCAGGCCAGCACATTAGCCACAACAATGGTTCTGAAGACAATGCAAGTTGGATTTAAGTTAAACTGGTGTGATTACAGCTGTATTTCAGTACGTGGGTTAACGTGAGAAGCACCTTCAAATCTTGGACATGTGAAAATAGAAAAGGTCTCAACCTTATCTGCTGGAAAACTATAAAAGCATGACATACCACCTTTGAAAAAAACCCCACGTATTCTCACGCTACAGTTTCTTCATAACTTCTACGAACTCGATCAAAAATATTCTCAATAAAACCTTGAGTAGTAGGAACGTGTTCAGGTTAAAATCTCTATAACCATGCAAATGATTTCACGCTCCTTGTCATTAAATACATTTAACAGATCAACTTAAGTTGAACAGTCAACAGGTAACTGAAGAGATAGGCATACAACGTAACTATTCCCCTTGCACCTCCCTGTCTCTCCCCACACTCCCTCAAAGGAAAGAAATCTTTTCCTGTTCTGATCTATTTTTACAGTCTAGTGCATTGGTATTTTGGATTATTTCCAAGGGTATTCTTTACTGGGGCATCACAACTAAATGCCAGATTTCAAAATTATTTTAGCATATTCTCATAGGCTACTTCACAGAACAACACTGAATTAATAAAGGATCTAGCAATTACAGCCTTTTCAAATGCAAATACGTTAAAACCTAGTAAACAAACTTAAAAAAAAATACCATCACTAGCATAAAATTCAGATTCTGCTTCGTGTTCCCCCAAAGGTTACATCAAGTTATTAGCAGCCTGCACTCAAGGGAAATTTCTGAAAGCAGCACGCACGGTCAGTTTAAGTCCTTACCTAATCAACAGCTTATTTTTTGAGTAGTTAATCAAGAATCAGCTTTTAAACCTGGGAGGACAATAGGGATCTCCTGTCTCCACATCCCAATTTGGGTACCTCCGACTCCGCTCAGGAAGCCAGGAGACAAGGTCTGGTCCTTGCATCCCAGGATGCAAGCCCAACGCAGCAATCCCTGGTTGGAGCTCACCCTTGCCCGCTTCCCCCTGCCTGCTCCCCCTGAAAGGCACCGAGCAAGAACCTCAGGACCCTGCCGCTGCCCTAACAAAGCCAGGCGAAGCGTCTGCGAGGGTGAGGCAGAGGAACCGGGGCTGGGTCTTTATTTGGGGCACGGCGACTTGGGTTTTTACCTTTCTCCCTGCTTGGTGTTGGAAGGCGGAGGGTGAAGTACAGTCTGGTTCCCTTCCATCTCCACGATGCACTTGGTATTCAGGTCCAGCTCTGCAAGGCGACAAGGCGGGGGGCTGTACCCAAGGCGAAAGCACCCCCCCTTCTCCTCGCACGCCGGGGCAGCTGGCCCCCCGCCGGCTCC